ACCTTCTCCCCCAAAAGGTAATTAAGCAGTACACACGTCGATGATGACTCGGGGGGGGGGAGGGGGGCGGGGGCGTGGCATGACTCTGTTAAATAGCTAAATAAGAACCGAAATGATCGAGGCTCCTCCCCCTGGGGGGGTTGGCTTTTTATCATATACTGTCCTTCACGATTTTAAGCACAGCAGATTTAAAAAAAAAAAAAAAAAAAAAACTGCACATTTTTCCATTAGACAGCCCCTTGGTGAGGAAGTGCAGCCTTAATCTCCCCGTCGGAGGCTTGCAGTCGTCGTGATTACACCAACACGGGTTCCCGCTACCCACTTCCTGTGCACCATCGTCAGCATGCAACACCCATCTCTTTCGGGTCGAATCACTCACCGCAGAAACCAAAGTTCTCTCTTCATCTAATGTAATTACTGTCGGGAAGGAAAAAAAATAAATCAGCCGTTCATAAATTGTTTGTAAGCATTCATAAATATTCATACCTGTGTATGACAACAGCATCAGCTGACATCTGTGATAGGATTACGTCGCTAACCAGCTTTCGATTCATCGCGTCTTTTGTCATTTATGACTGCGAGTAGGTGTGCTAATTATGGCATTAGCCCTCACCTGATTGTACAGGCACTATGGCAGATCAAGGGAAGACTTACTACACAGAAATTCAATTCACTTTTATTTGTTTAGCGCATTTTCATTACATTATCCCTGCCCAAAGCCCCCAGTGAGCAAGCCAGAGGCGACAGTGGCAAGGAAAAACTCCCTAGAAGGAAGAAACCTTGGGAGGGACCAGACTCAAAGGGGGAGCCCGTCCTCCAGGGGCCGGCAGAGGAAGTCAAATGAGCAAGAGAAAGATCTGTGTGCATGTTTAAACATAGTTTAAATAAATAAATACATAAATAAAGACTGGGCCTGAAATTCTCCATATTGTTTTTCAGGCATGTGGCAAGGCAGCACAATTACCTGTTTCAATCCCCTTTTGCTCAAGTCCCTGGTCAGTGAAATCTGTAGAGAGGGTAGGACTGACAGACCGCTTATTAAATTTACTTCTGGCTACTGGCCTGACGTATGTCCCTAATAATAATAGTAGCAACAACAATAATAATAATAATAATAGCAATAACAGCAATAAAAATACACAACGATATGGGACATTCTGGCACCTGCCGGCGTCCAGACGATGACCCGCTCCACCGCTCTGCCTTCAGAGGCGAGGCGAGAGGGTCAGCTGATTTCATCTACTGTTCACGCTTTTACACACGGCTTCCCGAACCCCCGTCAGGCGAACTAACGGGCACGGAGGCCGGCCGCCGCGCGCCGAGGCTAATTGCCTGCTGATGGGCGTCTGGCCTGTCCCACCTGATGGGGAGTAAACAAGCCGATTAGCGGGGAGAAGCCGTGTTCCAGGGTGCGGGGTCGGCTCCTTCCATTAATCATCAGACCTTGCAAAGTCTATTACACCGAAACAATCCAATCACAAGGCACCTAGCCAGGCTGGACTAATGTTATGATCTGTAAACACCAATATTGTTGTTGCTCATGGTGGGAAGTACTGCACACTTTTTATTTCCAATTATTAGGTGTTTTTTTTGGAGATCTATAGACACAGCCACATAATTCCAAGTGGAGAAACTGCTCTGAGCATCTTAGGACAATAATGGGTCAGTAAACATGCCCACCAGGACCTGATTTAACCCCAGTTAACTGCGTTCCAGTACAAGTCGGACAGCCATTTACTAATACCAGTTGTAGCCAGCTTTATTTTTAGCAATACCAGTTGATAACAACGCATTAAGTGGTATTTTTAATACAGAAACACAAATAAGACATAAGTGCTAATAAACAGTATATAAGTACAGCCTTCTCTTCTGTTGATGAAGGGAGCAGCCATCTTGGATTCTGAGGTCGGGGCTGTAGTGGTTCCTCCGACTTTCCGAATCCAGCTGCAGTCACCACCACGTCTGGCGATGGGCCCCTGTAGCCTCACTGAAAGGCGCGACTCCCTGGGGGTGGGGGGGGGTTAAGGGTCATACATCCCCCCCCCCCCCCCAAATCATGACTGGCCTTCCTCCTTGGACACCCCGGATTAGAGAGGATTACCGGAGATAACCAGGCCTGATGACAGCAAGTTCAGCATGGTGCAAAATCGCAAAAACACATGCCAAAGTGCAAGGGGGGAGGGCAGGGGCTTTGCAACCCCCCACAAAGTAAAAAACAGCCTTGTCATGCTGCAGTTTGAGAACTTCATTTCCGCCGCAAAGTGTATCACATTCTTCAGCAACACTACAGACTTCCAATGAAATCCCTTCTTCGTACTGCAACAGCAAGGCTGAAGATTTCAGTTTGCCAAGCGGGACGGAATAGAGAAAATGTGGAGTGGGCGCGGGGTGGGGGTGGGGGGGGGCGTGGCCCGTGTGGCCAGCGAGTCAGGGAGTCGCGTAAACCTGTGCTTAGCTTCTCCGGCTCCGGGTTCTGCTGCTTGGGTCCGGCCCGCGCACCTTAGCCTGCTACGCTACGCTACACGTGAGAGGAAAAGCGCATGAAGCGACGGACACCCGGCTCAGCAGGAAACGGTAAAAAAAAATAACAACGTCGACTCCACAGGCTCTTATATTCCCTATTCAGGGAGGCTACATCATTTTATTTGAGCATTTATTAATATATCAACAGTCGTTCAAGCACACAGCAGGTTATTAATTTTTTTTGTCAGTTTTTGCATTTTGATTCATGTTCTCAAACGCAAAAGAGGAAAAAAAAAAACAAAAAATTAAAAAAACGATATTTACATACTGCAATATAAATATGTCAAATATACATTATTATACACAAAGTAGCTCACATGGTAAGACAATGTGTGCACATTGAGAACCATAGTACCTTAAATAATGAGGGGGAATGCAACATCAATACAACTGTATCGTACACAGTGGGCATACAGTTACAAACGTGAGGGAGGGGGAGGGAACATCTGAAAGCTTATTGGTTGACTTTTTCGATTGGCACATGCCCTGCCCAAACAAGTTCCAGATCCTGGGGCCATGGTAACATTGGTATCCCTTTAATGATTCTTCTACCTCAAATACATATAACAACATAACAATGAAAAAAAAAAAATACTTCAGCAGTTTTCAATCACTGCTACACTCAAAAAGAGGGGACGCACCGACAAGATTTACTCTCCATGTGTCTATCCTGTAAAGTCTACCTACATATTCTATCTATACACTATTTTCTTTGGGAATAATTGCATTGCTAGGGTTTTAAAAACCAGGCAACGCATTGTGAACGCAAAGATGTTAGGGGAGAACCGAAAGCGGGGGCCCCTAAAATACTGATACATTTATACATCTTTAGCTCAGACTACAAAACTACCCAACCAACAGACTTGCTTTTGAACCTCTGTTTAAATCGTTCAGGAGGCTCTGATATACACAGTTGAGGTCTTAAAATGGTTGTGTCACCACACTTCTCCGGAAAACCTTCTACAGGCACCTTCACGATAGGACTTCCTTCCAAAAGAGGGTTCAGCAGGGAGAAGCTGATGGAGGTTCTTCTCAAATGACAAGCCAGGCCCAACTCTGAAGAACCTCACCCTTCTCTCTCTCGCCCGGTGCCCTCGCAACTGTAAACTCGAGAGGAATTTTCAGGGGGAGGTTCTCCAAAAGTATGATGATGTATCTCTCCAGGGGGGGGGGGAGGGGGGCGGTGGTGCCCACCCAGAGAATCACAGGAGGTCATTAAGCAAGAGCTGAGTTCTACTTTGCGACACAAGGATGGACTACGTTCCGAAGCAAGTCTAGAGTGATCCACGACGTTATGGACTAAAATGTCAGCCGAAATAGGAAAAGCTACTTTTTACACATTCCTGTACACTAACGAATTCCCCATCCCAGATCATTTATTCAAAAAAAAACTGTACACATTACATTTGAATATCCTTCACTCAGATCCTCACATAGAACCGCTCAGGTCAGGAGATGCACCATCCACACACGCGACTCGCAAGTGGCAAGACCATAGTTCACAACGGCAGCGTATATACAGTAGGTGGTNTGTTTTAATTTCAATGCATATTTTCAACATTTGATGGTTCTCAGACACCAGAACTTCCCTGAAAAGGTCTCCTTTGACTTGTCTACGCCTTTCACTAGAGTTGTACCAGACAGCACTTAGTAGACCCCAGCCAGCATGCCCAAGTGAAGACAACTGGCTTCTGATTGGGTCACCAGTACTGAGGCTCAGGTGATAGAGCTGCTTCCTGTCGAGATCCAAAACGGTCCTATTGATCTGAGATGCACCATAGTACTGCCACGGAGGGTTGTCCAAAAATGCAACACATCATATTTCAGGGCATTCGAAAGCCTCTGGTCTGCGCAATTACGAAATGCGTTTCGGGAATTGACTGTACGAAATATTTAGCGTATTAATTATCGCCATCCCCCGCGCAATCTCATGCATACATTGCGGTGCGCCACCCGCGTGACTCACGCCGTTGACGATGGCGTCTCTCATCCTTTCTCTCTTAAAAGTTACCACCCTCGAGAGGCTTGCCGGAGCACGCCCCCTGCGGACGATGCAGCGGGGGGGGGGCGCCCAGTGGCCACCCCGGCCTGTGATGTATGGCCAGATGCATCAAATCGCACAAGATAAACAAGCGGTGGATTTCATCAGGCCATCATAGCTTTAATTTGGCTGCCTAATGAGTCAGATCTAGTGGCAGAGATAAAAGTTGTCAGAGGCCCGGCTCTAATGAATTTCTTGCCACTTGTAATCAAGGCTGTCTGTCTGAGGGGGGATGATTAATGGCGCCCAGGAGGATTCCCCCGGCCCTCCGCTTTCATTACAGCTAATGCATTCTCAGGCAAATTAACAGAGCGCCATGAGCGCGGCGGCGGCGGCGGGGGAGAGCACCGGGGAGAGAGACTGATTACAGAGAGGGATGGAGGGAGGAGGCGGAGGGAGAGAGGGATGGAGGGAGGAGGCGGAGGGAGAGATGCAAGGTTGGGCGGGGGGGGGGGGGGGGGGGGGGCTTCCAGGTACCACAGTGGCAGAGAGGATTCCGCCAATCAGAAAGCCAAAAACGGGGAATACGCTAAACAGCTCCAAGCTAGCACAAAGCGGACTGATCTCAGAGCAGCGCTGAAGAACAACTTGATCCAGGACTGTATGACTATGGAGCAGGAGACGAGCGACGAAAACAACAGCCGTGATTTTAGGGTCAAACAAGCAGCAGAGCAAAGGCAATTTTAATCGCGCTTCAAAAATGCACCAAACAAAACGCCATTGGAAATCCGGCGCCATCAGTCAATTGTCAGCAATGACGCAGAAACTAAACTATGCCGTAGAAACTAAACCCTTTCATACTCAAGGCGGCGCTGCTAGGACAACGACAGCGACGTCATTCACAGGAGAGGAGAGTGTCCCCGTGCAGCCCTTGGTCGCAAGCCTTCGAAAACCGAGAACACGAACATGAAAAGAAAAACGGTTGGAAAGGATGGCTTGTTATATTAGCAATAGCCGGCAAACAAGTTTAAAATCCAGCTACTGAAAGGCATCAGTCCCAACGATGTTGTAACTAATGGTTCAGGAATGCAGAGGGTACAGATACCCGTCCAAGAGCCAAGAGAACGGGGCCAGGCCCCGGAAGCTGATCTGCCAATCATGTGCTGCCATTTGGGTGGGAGTCAAAGAGGCCTCACTTCTTGTAAAGAACCAGGAACAAACACTGTCCTTTGCCACCACCATTCCATACAACTTAGTCATTTTTCCCCCCCCCCCTTTGAACCAGCAGGGGCTGTTACACACCAACCTCAATGCGTGCCAATAACAAAGGGCACTGCCAACGACTTGAAACAAATAAATAAATGCCCCCCATCCCCCACCCATCGTCTGGCAGCTGCTGCAATGGGGACTCCAAACGCTGGGCGGGAGGGTGGGGGGGGGGGGTCTTCCCCCAAGATAACACAAGCTCAAGGTTTGCAGCTCCTCCACTGAGGAGCAGAGGAGGGTCATTAAGGCTACAAGAGGAGGAGGTACGCCTGAGAGAGGAAAAGGTGTGTAATCGGGGGCCACGAGCAGGACAAGGAGGTCCGGTCCCTGTCCCCTGTACCTGCACGTCACACCACACAGCACAGTAGGAGGCCTGGGCACCTGACATGGAGATATCGGTCGGCTCCCCTGTATCGCGGTGGGGACACGCATCTGCCACAGAGGGTGGCTCCGTGTCACAGCAGCAAAGCCTTATGGGAAGAGGCTGGGTTCTGAAGGCAGGAATCGATAATTAAGGAATCTCAACGGGGGGGGGGAAGCATGTGATCGAACGAGAACTGACCGGCAGCTGCTCGACTAAAACTCCCTCCGCGGCCAAATGGGGTGAATCTATCCATTTGTCTCCCAGGACTGACCAGGGGGGAGACCATCTTCTGCAGCAAAACTTCAGAAAATAACTCAAGCCCATCAAGCCCTCTGCTTCTAACTTTGGTGTAATGGTTCTTATCTGTACGTGCTACGTTGATTTTAAGCTCAAATTTTTCCCTTACATCTGTGGTCTTAGCAATCATTACACTTTTATCTGATATGCCAAAAGTCTGGGTCAAAGGGCATAACAGTTTGATTGAATCAGGTTAAATGTATTTGTTTGTTTTTCCTGACGTTTTTGTTGTGATTTTTCGAAGCCTCCGATTTTTAGGCCATAAAACTGAAATGCCAACTTTTAGTATGAAACTGGCAAGATTCCAGTTTCATTAAAGAAAATCCAATGGAAACCTGTTGGAAAAGACCAAACAATTCAAAAACTCTACAGTGAAACTCGCTAATTTTAACAATAATTATAAGTATTATAATAACCATAATAATAAGATCCACACCAAAGACAACCACATTATTTCCAAAGCTGCGGTAATTTCCAAAAATGTGCAGAAGTCGGTGCCACTGCAGACGGCTCCCCTATGGACGCTGCTCCGCTCCGAGGCTCCCGCACTAGATTCCTGTTAGTAGGTTAAAAGAACCTCCCACCCACCATAAGAAAAAAATCCTTGCAAAGTGTTCTTTCATGGCTATATAGAGACTATACATGGGCATGTACTGGATCATCCTTCTCTTCCTGTGGCCACTGGAGGCCCCGGGTCACTCAGGTGAAGTCGTTGTTGGCATTGAGGGTGAGGGCTACAGGAGAAGCAAATGGAGATGCACATGGAGGCAGTCAGTCCTCCCCGCCACTAGATGGCGCTGGCGCTGCGGCTCAGCTCGCCCTGGGCGTTATTGTTGTTGGCGTTGGGGTTGGTGCCGCGGCGGGCAGCGGTGGGCGTGGGCACCAGCGTGCTGCTGTCGTTGGGGCAGCCGTGCTGGAGCAGGATCTCGGCACACTCCTGGCTGCCCGACCGTCGCGCATAGGCCAGCGGCGTCATCCCCCGGGCGTCGCGGCTTTTCACGTCCACGCCGTACTGGGTGGGGGGGGGGGAGAAGTTAAGACGGGAATGATTTACTCGTCACCCCAAATGTGGCCAGGCGTCTAAACCCATCTCAAAAAGGAAATCAAACAGGAAAGATTAGCGATAAGGAACAAGCAACCAGTACGACAACGAACTCAGTGGGACAGGAGCGCCCCCCCAGTGGCGGAAAAGCGGCCGGGTCCCTCACCCAGACGAGCAGCTGCGTGACCACCACGTTGGCCATGGCGCAGGCCAGGTGCAGGGCGGTGCGGCCGTCGCCGTCTCCGTACGTCTCGTTGACCTCCTCCTTGGAGCCGTGAGCCAGGAGGAGCACCACCACGCGGAGGTCGTCCTCCACCACGGCGCGCAGGAGCTGCTGGCCCAGCGGCACGTCCGACGGCGGCAGCGGGAGCAGGAACAGCTTCTGCTCGTACTTCGCCCGGATCCAGCGCTCCTTCTCCTCCCTGCCGACGGAGGAAGTCTTAGAACCGGGGCCTAACGGCATCCGCAACGTCTGCACTGACATTGTAAAACAATCTCAGGACAGAACCTGCTGTTGTACCCTTCAGCCCACAGTTACCGAAACACGATTTTCGTAAACACAAATCTGTATATTAAAAACAATATAAAACTGCATTAGACATTTAAGGAACATTTAGTATAATAACAAGCAGATTTTAGAATTGGGGGGGGGGGGCAGCTAACTAAAAAGACAGGCGCAGGCGGGGCGTGTCCTCCCAAATATTTAATTAGGTGTCACTCCTCACCCGAAATGTAGAAGCTTACATTTTAATTATTAAGTCCCCCCATCAAACACTCACACACCATTGGCCAGGAGGAATAGCGGGTGAAGACATGGACCTTACAGTTTCTACTTGAGATCCCAGGGTTTAGCTGTTGTACCTTAATACAGAAATGATCCAGCTGTATAACATGGGTAAAATCTGCACAGGAAAGCATCATTTTAGGAATTAGTGCCCTTAATGAGCAGTGGGATGTGATAGGGTGGGGGTGGGGGGGGTTGGGTTGACAGTGTCAGCGGGGGGGGGGGGGGTTAAGCTCAGCTAGCTACCTAAAGGTTACACATTGTGAGCAGCATGTCTGCCATGGACAATGCAGGGGGGGGTGTAGCGGGGGGAGCGTATTTTTATCAGTGCTGTCAGGCCGGAACGCGGCGGTCCCACAATGGGCGGGCCGGCTCCCTCTCCTCCGTTTCCCCTGGGTGGGGGGCCGCTGCCCAGCCGATCGATGGCGCTTGAATGGCGCGGCGGGGCGCGGAGAAAGAACCGCGCTTCGGCCGAGTAAAAGGAGAGCCCTTCTGCCGGGCCCTCGAATTCTATCTGCCACCATCTCCGCCCCCCCATTCGGATGGAGCCGGAGACGCGAATCGATATCCCGGCGACTGAGCATGCTCAGTGCGGCGCCGACCTCTGACCTCGCGCCCTGCTGCGTGATAAGGCGAGTGAAAAGGGGCTGTTGTCTGCGTGTCTGGGTGAGTGACAGAGAGAGCGGCCGGGGACGATAGCGACAAACAACGCGGCTGACAAGCTCCCCCCTCCGCAACTCCACCCCACCCGGCTCCCGAGGGGTGCGGGTGGGGGGGGGGGGGGGGGGGCAGCCGGGCCGACGTCATGGGCGGACACCTTGCAATCTGCTGCCACTGACCACATCCATCGGCCTGCAGACCAGGACTGGCAGCAGATAGGGTGACTGATCCACAGGCCGGCAGTGAGTCTGCGGGACAGCAGCATGGTCAACCAGGCAGAAACTGCAGCCATAAAAAGCAAAATAATAATAATAATAAAACAACATGGCAATCTCGCAATTATGGTAATAACTGCCAAATAATGTGTTCAACAATAGAGATACGTTTTTAATTATGATCAGCAGCAGTGGGAACAATGATAGAAAAAAATGAAAATGGAGACACACGCACTAAACAACCCTCCTCATTACACCCGCAAACAATAACACTGGCAGGCTTCACAATCAGTGGCCCCTCCCTCAAGGAGGAAATTTACAGACTAATATGTCACCTGCCAGCGATGCTGCGGGCCGACCCTCTGCCTAACGAGAGCCCCTCGCTCCCGGAATTTAACTGCAGGAGTTAATTATCTCCTCGCTCCGCGGCGACGGGACCGTCTTTGTCACTGCCTAGGAGGCCTCTGAGCTGCGGGTGCCGGGCCCCCAGCTAACAGAGAGGCGGAGCCTCGCCCTGCCAGGCCGGGACCCTCAACGCGGGCCCCAGGCTGAGACGCTGAGACGGAGGAGCGCAACCAAAACGAGCACCGCGAGAGTTACCGAACTCTCACTAGCAGCCGCACCATGACTTAAATTTCACTAAGGAATCAGAAGGTCGGTTTCGCAAAAGGACAAAAAAAAAAAAAAACAGCTTTACTTACACAGATATTTTTTTAATAGTATGAAATTAATAGTAAGAAAAATGACTAATAATCGACTATTTGGGGAGCCCCCGTCTTGCGAATTGTGACGATAAACGCTGGTATCTCTGAGAGCCAGAACTGTCCCTCCGTGATGTAAGTAAAAGAGTCTTTGCCTCAATTCAGTCCCTGTTACAAACACATCGCCCCCCCCCCCCGACCCAGAGTTGTCCCCAAAGGGGAGCAGGAGAGTGGATTTATGGCGCTAATCCTTGCCATGGGCGCCCCAGTCCATCAGCGTACGTGGACAAGCTCATGGGGCGGATCAGTGACTCCCCAAGCGGCATGGAACCGGCGTCATGGCCGGACGGCCCAGGGGGTCCCACAGCTCTGCTCCCTCAGCGGTAATCGGACCGCGCATACTTCACACTTACACCCGCCTGCCGCTAAACTGGGCCATAATTCTGCCACGGAGGGCCGGGACAAACCTGCAGAGCAAAGGTGTCGGGCTAAAAAGACACAAGTGAGGAACAGTTTCACAAATCTAGGCCGAAGTAAAAACGAGCGCATCCCCCCCCCCCCCCGAAGTGGAGCTGGGTTGTGTGACGCTACAGAGCATTTGGGTTTTACATGGACCTCCGGGCAAAAATGTAAAGCATCACAAACTGCATCAGAAGTCAGGTGCATCCTGGGTCGCAGGATCCCATCGCACGTCCTGCGGGAAGGTGGGCTGGGGGGGGTCGGTGACGCCACGCATCTGCGGGATGCCCATTTCTGAAGGTTTCCGGCACTGTCACTTGAAAGAGAGATGGCAAGGGGGGGGGCAGGTTGAAGCTGTGATGCCTCCCCCCCCCCCTCTTTGTTGGCCATATAAAAACAAACGGAGGTGAAGTTTGGGGTTTGGGGAAAAAACAGAGCGAGTCTGAATGGGCACTTCCTCCCAGCAGGAAGCCAAAAACACAAAAAAAACACACACAGCAGATTTAGCATGTCAAAGCTGGGGGCTGGTGGGGGGGGGGCAAGCGATGGAAGAAAGTGAAGCTTCTCCATGGGGGACAATATTCAGGATATCGAGCAGATGACACCCCCCCCCCCCCCCCCCCCCCACCACACACCCACCCCAAGTGTACATAGTTGCCGTGAACACTGGGGTTGCTTGGGGGACGGGGGACAGGAGATGGAAGGGGGGGGGGGGGCGAGAGGGACAGGCACTGTGCGAAAGCAGATGTTTCTTCCTGTTCTTGCCTCAGGTAATGAGCAGCAGCGGCATGGAGGGTGGAATCCCGCGAGAACCGGGCCGGCACACGCGCACGTGAAAGGCGAGTCAGCCCCCGCGGGTCTGGGCTTCTCAGGAAAACTCCCGCACGTCTGATCCGACCGCCCGGGAAAGCTCTAACGCGCCTCTCACCTTCGCTAAAAAGCCACGGCCGACTGAACCGGCACGTATTCCGCTAAGGACTCGACGGTAAACCGACGGCACGCTGAACACCAGTTAACCCAAGACTGCGGAAAGCAGAGGCACTTTTCCTCAGGTCTGGTGTTTTTATGTGACTTTGCATTAAAGGCACACACTAAAGGCACAGCAGCAACCGTGCAGCTTTAAATATCTCTGCGTCAGCGGCTCTGTCCTTGCTAACTCTTAGCCAAACAACGGCTACCCACCTCGACCTACATAAGTGGCGAATGGCAGAGAGAGTCCCCAGTAGGGTTAAAAGCACATCACTGCCTTCAAATAAGGAGGAACAAACACAGATAATTAGTCAGGCCAGGAACACAAAAGCAAACAGGGATTTATGGGGGAATAAGAGGCCGTAACGGGGGGGTGAGCTGGGGGAGGTGTGCGTGTGCGTCTGTGTGTCTGTGTGTGCGTGACGGGGGAGGCAGTGAATGACCAATCTGCTTTTCTTGAAGGTGCATTAGCAAACACTGCGTGGGTGGGGCTTCGGGAAAAGGCTCCTCCCACTTTTCACACAACTCAGACCCTCCTAAACAATCAAGGCATGATAACATGCCCCCCCGCCAATTCCCCAGCATCCCACACCATCCCTCTAGGCACTGAATTCACAACAGAGACATCAAACATGGACGCAAAGAAAGAGAGAAGGGTCTGGGTGGAGCAGGAGGGGGGGAGTGGGGGTGGGGGGTGGGCAACTATCTAAACAACCAACCCAGCTGGGGGGCAGGCTGTTTGAGAGTCAGTCAGACTCATGTAGCCCACCATTTCCCTTCCAGAAAGAGGGGGAAAAGTGAAAAGTATCCCATTGAAGACACCAAGACCCCAGGCTTCAAAGGTTGCTAGGGGCCGCAACGGCGGGAGTGACACAGTAAAAATCCAAATAGAAGCCCTCACTCCCAGCAGTCAGCCCGCCGCCTTTTTGTTTCGCAGCCCTGCTTCGTTTTGCCTGTTAGTCAGTCTGCCGTTTTACCATTTCAGGCGGTTTAGCAGCAGACGCCAGGGATGGTTTTAAATCAAACTATTTCTCTCGTCCGAAGCTTTATTTTTCAGCCCTAGGATGCCATAGACAAGTCCGCTGGGGACTAACGCTGCTCTTTGGAAGACCAAACCATCAGCAACAACCACCTGAATATGATTTTTAAGATATTAATAAGGTAACATGTTAAAATGTAAGCATTTCTGCATAGATTTAAAGTACGCTAACAAAACCGTACACACTTAGCTCGGAATCACAGAAAGTTTCAGGCTCCCGTCAAATTAATGAGACACAGCAAGGTAGCAACGTTGTGGCAGGAACATAATGTTCACATGATTTTGGTTAGTTTTCTACCAGATCACATGGCGTGAGATACAGAGATGGCATGGTTTATGCTGGGCGCTAGAGCCAACGGTCCCCACATGGAACATGCAGGATTTCCTCACTAATACACATGTTTGGAAGCTCATGGAAATGACTCGAGTATCTTTTTATTCTTCCTGTACTTGTGACATTTTTGAACCCCTGTTTGGAACTGAATACTACTTTTTAAGAACCAAACAGTGACTATTCCTTCTTTAAAAGTAACTGCGACTTTGAAACGCCACTCTTATTTGAAGTACTTAGCACTTCAACCACTTCAAAACTGTA